ATCCACTCACCTCAGCCTCCCAAAGGCGCGGGATGACAGGCTGAGCCGCCGAGCCTGGCCAAACTTGAGATTTTAAGAGGCATTTTAGGTTTGCAGAAACATTGAATAAAAGGTACAGAGTTCCCAGGAGCCCACTCTGGCTGTCCCCGTTTTCCTACTGTGGACATCTTGCAGGAGCACTGACACATTTTTATTACCTGAAGACCCTAGTTGAGAAACTCAGGGCTCATTTGATGTGGACTGTTCCGTGAGTTGGAACAAGTGCGTAGAGTCCAGTGTCCACTGTGATTGAGTCGGGTAGAAGTGTCAGCCCTGAGCCCCGGGCACCACCTGCTCCGCCGGCCTTCCCTCTGCCCTGCCACCCTGCCCTTTTGCTGTCTCCGTAGTGCCGCCTTTTCCAGAATGCCCTGTAGTTGGAATCACTCGGCACGCACTTCCCATCAGCTTCTGTCTCCTGGTCCTGTGCATGTGGGATTCTTCCGTGTCTTTTCACGGCTTGAGAACACGTGTCTTCTTTTCCCTGAATATTTCCTTATATGGGCATTCTGCAGTTTGCCTAAACACTCCCCTGTGGAGGGTGTGTGTGTGTGTATGTGCATATACATGTGTGCGCACACACACATGTCTGTATTATAGACGTAAGTATGCATATGTGTACTTACATGTGTACACATGTTTGCACATATGAATTTATATCTATGTATGTATATGACGATATATCTGTTTATATGTGTACACACATGTATACATGTTTCTCTGTGTTTGTATGTGTGTATACATGTATGTACCTATGCATGTAGGCACGCACATATGTGCGTGTATATACACACGTGCACACATATACACACGTGACTCTTTGTGAAGTGGGAGTGGGTCATCATCAGGGTCTTCATCCTCGTCTTCATGTTGAGAAGCTGGGGGGGAGGCAGGGGGAGGAGGGAGAGAAGAGGAGGAGAAAGGGGGAGGGGAAGAAGAGGAAGAGGGGAATGGGGAGGAGGAAGAGGAGAATGAGACATCTACCTGTATGGATTGTAGACATTTACTGTGCATATATGTGTATTTGTGTACATATACATGTTTGCATATATATATTTATATGTGTGCGTGTATATGAGTAGATGTACTTGTTTATAGGTGTACATGTGTGTTTGTGTATGTGTGTTTATGTGTGTTTGTATATGTGTACATATGGGTGTATATCTGTGTGTGCATATATATGTGTGCCTATATGTGCATATATATGTATGTATATACACATACATGTGCACACACATGTCTGCATCATAGACACGAGTATGCATACATATGCATGTATGTGTTTACACATATTTGCATATGTGTATGTCTGCATGCATATCAATAGACATATTTACATGTGTACACGTGTGTATGTGTGTTTATGTGTGTGTTTGTGTGTGTGCATGCATGCATATGTGTGTATGTGTGTTCATATATGTATGTCTGTATATATATGCATTGTACACATATATGTCTGTGTGTATTCTAGACAGGAGTATGCATATATGTATTTGTGTGTGCACACACACGTTTGCATATATGTATATGTGTGTATGTATATGAGTAGATATATTTGTTTATATATGTATATATGTTTATGTGTATTTGTGTGTGTATATGTGTATACACATGCATGTATATGTGTGTGTATATATGCATATATCCCCCTACATACACACACACGTCACTCATCTAGAAGGATATATATATCCACTCACTCTCCATAAGTGAGTGGATACATATATGTATGTATACAGTTGACTCTGGAACAATATGGAGGCTAGGGGTGTCAACGCCCTGTGCAGTTGAAAGTCTGTGCATAATTTTTGACTCCCTAAAACTTAACTACTAATGGCTTCTTGTTGACTAGAAGGCTTACTGATAACATAAACGGTCGATGAATACATATTGTGCGTGTTTTATGTATTACGTCCTGTATTCTTACAGTAAGGTAATAGAGGAAAGAAAATGTTGCAAAGAAAATCTTAAGGAAGAGAAAAGATGCTGACTCTTTGTGAAGTGGGAGTGGGTCATCATCAGGGTCTTCATCCTCGTCTTCATGTTGAGAAGCTGGGGGGGAGGCAGGGGGAGGAGGGAGAGAAGGAGAGGAGGAAGGGGGAGGGGAAGAAGAGGAGGAGGGCAATGGGGAGGAGGAAGAGGAGAATGAGACATCTACCTGCACAGCTCTGTATTCAGGCTCCTTCACCCTCTGCCGGCCCCACCCTCTGGGCTGCTCGCATCCTGGCTGCGCTCCCCGCCCTCCGGCCCAAGCT